AGCACGCCTGATGACTTCCAGGGGAGCAGAGCAACATTTCTAGAGCAAGTTGGACCTCTTGCTTTTGTAGGGACAGGTCTGAAACAAACTCAGACCCCAGATTTTAGGGTGGGAGGGTCCAGAAAGCTTGCCCTGGGTTTTGCCAAGGGCCTGTCCCCTTTCAGTGAGCCAGAGCAGACCCTTGGTCCTGAAACCTGGACCCATGTACAAGGTTTGCAATGTAATTCTGCGCCAACCCTGATGTGCTGACTCGGCTCGTCGTCCATCCCCGGGAGGGATGCTTCAGGTGGGGCTGCTTCGTCTGGAGCCTTGTGTTCAGTTTCCAACCCCCTGAAAGCAATTTGGTCCCTAATGAAATCAAATCTTGACAGCTTAAATAACCAACATGAGCCTGCTGCTGCTGGCAGTGGCCTGTATAAAGTCAGCATCTGGAAGAGAGGTCGTGAGCCCTGGACTAACGTGGCTGTGAATGTTTCACGAACCGGGAGTGCAAGTCCTATTATTCCAGGAGACAAACTCAATGGAAACAAAAACCCCGTTCTCTTTTAATGAGGACATCAGCCAAGTAGCATGCCTCAGACCTGTCAGGATAATTGCAAGGGCTGGTCTTCAAGAACAAGGGCAAAAGCAAAGGCCGTTGCTCTGAGGCCAGCTCTCATTACATGTTTCACATCAGGGTGGTCTGCAGGGGGAATGAGGCTGAGAAGGGGATGCTTGCTATGCTGTGTGAAGATGGGGTTTGTTAGGTAGCATTTAAATGTATATGCATGCCAATTTGTAGAGAAGGCTCTCTGTTGGGGTGCGTTTTCCTCTGTGAAGTGCCACGGCCTCCTCCGTGGAAGTCCCACATGCTTAAATACTGGTATAATAGTAATACCCTTCTGCTTGATCCAGTGCCTGTGGACATCAATGTAAATGCTCCCACTGACTTCCTTGGGCATTGGATCAGGGCTTTAGCGATTACCTTTTGTCTGAGCGTCTCAAAGTACATGAAAGACAGGAATGCATAAATTAACTACAACTTACAATGCCCTAGGATGGTGGGTGAGTAAACCGAGGCACAGAGAGCTGAAGTTTCCTGTCTTCAGAAGTGGCAGCTGCTTCTGTGCGTCTTGAATTTTGAGTACGTGGCCAAAGACAGCTGGCTTTCAGAAGCACGTTGCTCCTACAGCTGTGGCTGGCTGGGCTGGAGTAGTGGGTGCTTTGCACCCCTGGAAATATAGCCCCACGGGTATCCACTGGGGTGGAAATCAGAAGTCCCTAAGACCCTACAGCCACTTTTTTGGCTTAAATGACCTGCCCAAGGCCATGCACTGAATCGGCAATGGAGCTGAGACCCAAATGCCAGCTCCCCCGTGCCTACACAGTGTCCCTTACCAGTGTCAGTGAAGACGGCCTTGGACCTTCTCTCCTAACTGCAAAGCATGAGCCCTGATCTGTCTGAAGAGTTTTACACTGAGGTAAATGCTAACCACCCACATGGCAGCTTCCTGGCACCCTGCTGTTTTTTTTCAGAAAGAAGGAAAACTCTCCATCTGATCCAACTACCAGAAGCCAGGCTTACCTAGCCCTTCCTCTTCTCCAGTTGCTTCAAGGAGGCTTTGAATGTGAACTCAAAACTTAACGAGCTGTGAAGGAAGGGGGATGCCACGCATAGAAATCTGGTGGAACCAAGCTTGGAAGTTGGTGGAAGACCTCTGGAGAGCCACCCCCTGCCCCTCCACTCTTGCATTTCTCTCTGTAACACTTCCTGTGATAAACAAACATCCCTGCAGCCAAGGTGCAGCCTTCCCCGATCCTGTGCCTGCGGGGCTGGAAGGATGTTGACTCATGAGAAACTTTGGGCCGGGGGAGAAACTTAAACATATGAAAGAGGGTGTTTCCCACAGCCAAAACTCCTGGACCGCTCAAGCCCTAGCTTGGATCCAGATTGTGTAACTTTTGGTTTTCTTCCAGGGCTAGTGGAGACTCCCAGATGGGGAGGGACAGCACACAAGGCAGCGGAGACAATACGTTGACCTTGCAAAGAGAGAGACTAGTTGGCCCAGTCCACGCTTCACAAAACACTGAAAACGCCTCTTATAGTTTCATAGTTTCGTAGCACTTAGGGTCGGAAGGGATCTAAACAGATCATCAGGTCCGACCCCCCGCGCCAGGCAGGAACGAGTGGCGGGGTCATATCACCCCAGCCAAATCTCTGTCCAACCTCCTCTTGAAGACCCCCAAGGTAGCAGAGAGCACCACCTCCCTTGGAAGTCCATGCCAGAGCCTGGCAGCCCTAACTGTACAGTAATACAGTAATCCTCTCCTTTGGTTCCCTGCAGTCTGGGGTTAGGAGGACACTGAGTGATTCTGTTTTTCTATCTTTGCTGCCTCCTGGCACAGCCTGAATTACGGAGGGATTGACTCCTCTTTACCCAGCTGGGCATGCACCATTAATGTGCCGATCTGTGCTTCTACTCCCAGGATTACTGAAGCGAGTGAAGGAACTGCCGTGGCATGCTGGAGTCCGTGCTTACCTAATGTTAACTGTGTGACATACACGACCACTTCGACCCCGGGCTTCAGCTCAAACTGGACCAGGTTCTGGTTGAGAGCATTAAAGAGGATTTCAACTATCTGAGGAAACAGGAAGAGATACACGGGGTTAACGGGTGCAACGGACAGTGCCGGACAGCATTTTGGGATGCAGACAGCCAATGGAGCCTATACGGCCTCACCTCTCTTGCAGGAAGAGAGTGGGCAGGCAGAAAGAGAGAGAGCAATTTTGTTATTTATGGAGATAGAGAGTCAGCATGTTATTTAAAGAACGCGGTGTTATTTCAGGCAATTCTCCTTATAGGAAAGGTGTAATTTTTAAGACTGTGCTATGATGCATTTACTGGAAGGGAAGAAAGACAGACAGGCTTGGGTAGGATGTGCCCGTTTGGGAGGGGAAGTTCCCCTCGCATTCTCCCCACCTGGATTCGGTGGGCCTGATCAATGCTTCCCACTGATCTCAGTGAGTGCTGGATAAGACCCAGGACCTATCTTGTAACCTGTCCTCCTTCCACCCCTGCTTGAGACAGTATGAGCCCTGCAGCTCCCAGTAAAGTTTGGGGTGGTGGTGGGATGAGCTTGAGGGATCTAGTCTGGAAGATGAACTCCAAGATGAACTTCAAGCCCAATCCACGCCCTGTGCTCGGAGGGGGGGACCCTGACTTCTCACAGCCTGGCAGCTGGGCATGTGAAGTTACCTGTCCACTCATGAGCCTGCTACCCAGTTTCCCAAAAGCTTGTGACTGTGCAGCAGCCAGTGGTAGAAATGATCCTACCCAGGAAGGTAAGAGGAAGTTGGTGTCACCCAGTAGACTCCACCCCTTCCCAAGGCATTCAAAGCAACCCCCTTAGAGCCTTAATAACTTAGACTCATTAAGCAAGGTGCTTTCAAGACAGCAGCCTTGTTGGCTTTCAGTTGAAGGGTGCCATCTCCAAGGGATGGCTTTGCTCCGCAGGTGACAAGACCGTCTCAAGATCTCTGGAGTCATCCAAGTATTTTACTGCCTGATCACAGCAAAGAGAGAGAAACTCATACAGACCAAGTCCTGAGGCAGCACCACCAGATAGCACCACCCAATACATATACAAGGAAACCCTGTCTAAAACATGGAGATGCCTTATACCTAGCTAGCACCCCATACCAACGGTAAGCTGGAAAACCTGAGCCAAAGTCTACGGTGGCATTTCACTCCTCCTGCCTTTGACTTTATAGAGCTGATTTAATTGCCTGATAACTCTGCCCTAAAAGCTTCAGCAGGCTAGTGCTGTTGTTCCTAACTCTTCCCTCGCCCGCATAGCGCAGTTGCTATTCATCACTGTAATTACCTATTTATCTAAATGGATGGATATTGTAACTTCCAAATATAGTTTGCACACGCCAATCGCTCCTGCAGAATAAAAAGGTCTTGAACCAGTGACAGATGAGCTGAAGAGCCTGATTTATTTTTAGTGAACCTCAGTACATTATTTCAGTGCTTTGCCCTCTCGCTTTTTCCATTCCTTTCAGGAGCATGTGGTACTGGGATCAGGTCTACTGTTGCCACCATATGGAGATGACAGGACTTGATGGGCTTGTGGGAAGGGGGAGAAACCGGTGCGTGTGCAGTAGACTGAAAAAAGACTACACGTTTCAATAAACCCTTGGGAAAGCCTAATCTTTTCTGTCTAGAAATGACCTTGGCTCATGGTTCTCCAGCCCCAGATGTATGGTATGTCCTGTCCTTCTAATGCTGCAGTTTTCCGTGCAGGTCGGGGTCCTACCTGAATATGGGAGGATGGACTTTTTGTGCTGGAAACCCCAGGCAGGAAGTACAACCCTTTGCTTACCTGCTCCAGATCGCCTTCATTGCCTTTCCTCCTCTCTGTTGTGTTTTTGTGGGGTAGTATGAAGAGCTCAGCGGAAGTGGGAAGTCCAGGAAATACCGCTACCAAAATCTGCTCATCGGGGATCCCAGTCACCTGGGGGGAAGAGCCAAGAATAGGATTAGCTGGTTTCTCATTGCCTTGTGGCCCAGTCTTTCACTTGTGTATCTCGTTTCCTGCAGGTGTGCTAACTAGGCAAAGGAAGCCACGCTCCTTTTAAACAGTTTGGGTGCCCGATCCTTCCACGCGGTACCTTGCTTTCACGAATTGGTACATCCACCAGGACACTGTAGTTAAAGACATGCTTGCAGTGAACTACTCCACCTCTCTGCATCTTTAGAGCTAAAGGTGGGATTGGCTACAGCCCTGGATCCAGAGACCTACATTCGTGGGGTGTTTGAAAACCAAATTGACCAGGGGATTCGGATCTGAACTTCGCACCTGACCCCACTCTCTATACGGTGCCAACCCCAAATCCCAGACCCAAACAGCCCGTTTCAATGCATATATTAATGAGCACATGAACAGGGTCTTGATCCTTTCACCGATGGTTTCTGCTCATCCAGTTACCCAATTTTCATGTAGAAATGGTTGCTTGGGGGAGGGCTCACTGGATGCTTCCTCACTTTTGGGGACGCAGTCAGTTGTAAGAGAATAAAACATAGGCTGTGGCCAAACGCTTGGTTTCCAAAGGGTGCACAGACAAGATTTTTTATGTGATTTCTCTTGTATTTTGCAGGCTCATGGGGAAGAGAGAACACCAGCTGTGCTTTGCTTTGCCTCCCCCCCGCCCCTCCAACCCCTCTGCAAAATAACTTTGCATTTGAAAAAGGCTGTAAAAAAGTCAGTTTAATAAAATGAACCCAGTTTTATCTGGGGGGGGGGGGGGGG